TTAAGTATATGGGTAAAAACCCGTTAACAGATGTTTAATTACATTTAGTTTTAAAATTGTGTTATAATGATTTAAGATTATAGAGTTACCGATGGATTAGGTAACATGACGACATATGACTCCACGTTGAAGTTGCTAGTCCTGAGACGGTATGTCTTCGAGGACTGTATGAGTGCAACTGATTGGCAATGACATTTGATGACAATATTGTTAAGTTATGACGGAAATTATCACAGAGCAGTCAATGTAGCTGTATGTTTCTACTTAAGGCAAAAGCCAACGTTATTTAAAATTGTGAAAATTAAGTAAACTAATATAACAGTATCAACCATCAATGTTGTAGTTTTAAATCTATGTAAATAAGATGATATAAGGGAGCAACAATTGTATGGTTGTAGTTAGGTAACCAACTATACATGTATGTAGCAATGTAATATAAAAAAATTTTTATTATATGGCCCTTTATGTTTCTTAAACATTTGGTACCCAGAAAATATAAACTAGACACATGTGGAAGGTTGAATTTTAGAAAAATTTTTTTGATGTTAATGGTTGGATCTAAATGTATTTATTTATAATTGGAAGTGTTCTTGTATGAATAAAATAAAACTGTTTTAGTAAATGTTCACGTGTTATTTAACTTTTAACTCAAATATACAGGCCCTGTATGTCAGAAGCAACATTTGGTACCTGGCAAATGTGAAAATTTTTGAGTTATAAGTTCATGAACCTAAATGTCTGACAAGGTGGTAACAGACTAAAAGGTGTGGAAGTTTTATTGTATTAGCTATTATATGTAATGAACGAAAGATTTGGTAGGACATGCAGATCATTATCCTCACGTTCTCTAGAACACATAAAAAGAGAAAATACTTCCACTTTCTCCTAACATCTCAAAGAACACAACCATACCCTCAATATCCCAGGATATTCACTTATCCACAACATCCCCAAAAAAACTTCCTTAAATTAGATTTATATGAAGATCTTGAAATTTTAAAAGAAAAACAAAAAAGCCCAAATTGTGTCAATCGTTTTGCAATTGCTTTTTTGTTTTTCTTTTAAAATTTCAAGATCTTCATATAAATCTAATTTAAGGAAGTTTTTTTGGGGGATGTTGTGAATAAGTGAAACGTCTTCTGGGATATTGAGGGTATGGTTGTGTTCTTTGAGATGTTGGGAGAAAGTGGAAGTATTTTCTCTTTTTATGTGTTCTAGAGAACGTGAGGATAATGATCTGCATGTCCTACCAAATCTTTCGTTCATTACATATAATAGCTAATACAATAAAACTTCCACACCTTTTAGTCTGTTACCACCTTGTCAGACATTTAGGTTCAAGAACTTATAACTCAAAAATTTTCACATTTGCCAGGTACCAAATGTTGCTACTGACATACAGGGCCTCTATATTTGAGTTAAAAGTTAAATAACACGTGAACATTTACTAAAACAGTTTTATTTTATTCATACAAGAACACTTCCAATTATAAATAAATACATTTAGATCCAACCATTAACATCAAAAAATTTTTTCTAAAATTCAACCTTCCACATGTGTCTAGTTTATATTTTCTGGGTACCAAATGTTTAAGAAACATAAAGGGCCATATAATAAAATTTTTTTTATATTACATTGCTACATACATGTATAGTTGGTTGCCTAACTACAACCATACAATTGTTGCTCCCTTATATCATCTTATTTACATAGATTTAAAACTACAACATTGATGGTTGATACTTGATGTTTTTACCCATATACTTAATCTTGGTGGCTACATTCATATACTCCTAGTAAGTATTAACCACATTTTTCATTAACCTTAGTCAAACTTGTAACCTATGTTCTTTTTAATTAAGTGGTTAACTATTTTCTAGGACACTGATGATGGAACATGGTTTCCGAAAACGTTTTGTCTTTTTAACTTAGCCCGTTTGGGCCTTAAATATATACCTATTACAAAGGATTTTTAATTAAATTTTTAAATGGGAATGGTCCAATGGGAAACTAACTTCGTAACACCCAGTTCTTCATGTAGGATCTTTTGGATTGAGGTCTTTGAAATGTCCAAAGATGCCTCTCTCTCCCGGTATGTTACGCGGTGGTCATGCTACTTCTTCTGCTAGTGCCTTTCCTCTATGGATGTTGGCTACCACAATGGCCCATCGTATATTATTAGCAGCTGTTCGAAATAAGTCGGTGGTAGCCATACCTGTCCAGTGTCTTAAATTGTTAAGCCAGGATATTCGGTGGCGTCCTGGTCCTCTATTTCTTTATATTTTCCCTTCTAATATCAATAGTAGGATTTTGTATTTATTTTCATTGTTCACTATGTGTCAGAAGTATGCTAACTTTCTCTCTTTAATGGATTTCAAGATTTCAGGTTCTTCTTGTAAACGTTTCATTACTGCGTCGTTGTATGATGTACGTATGATATTCTAAGCATGCGACGATAGCACCACATCTTGAAAGATTGCAACCGTCTGTAAGACGCATCAGTGGGTGTCTATGCCTCTGCTCCATACATAAGAACAGAAAACACATAAAAATTAAGGATTTTAAGTCGGAGATGTAAGTTCAAGGTTAAATTGCAGAGAACTTTCTTCATCTAGATTCGCCGGTTAGTTGACTGGTGTGGTGCTTCATTCACAAACACAGAATCGAGACATTGCTGTTGGGATAATCCTCTCTGAAAATTGTAAAAAATTATTACTCGAAAATATTAGCTCGGCCAAGATCCATTTTTCGACCGACTTGTTAATTTCAAAATTCACTGTATCTACACGACGTGTATCGCAATGAATTTTACAATTTATGTCAACAAAATATCGAGGTTACATTTGGGTCGAAAGGTTTTATTTGTAGCACCCTCTAAGCTATATGCAAAAATAAAAAGACAATAATCGTATTGGGTCAAATTTAATATGGCATTTTTCAAATTTAAGCTTTTTTATGTACTTTCTTAAACTTCACACATTTTACCTTAAAATATTGATGTGATACAATCAAAATAAAAATAATCAAAAAACCGTTTTTTTGCACCTAAAAATTATAACCAAAAAAAGTGCCATAAAAAAAATTATAACCAACAGTTTGAAGTTACACGTACTTAAAGGTTACTTCAGGCATTGTCCTTGATAACACTGTGCTGGTTTCAAAAATTCACTAATAGATTCCCATTTTTTCTCTACATCTTGGGCTATTTGTTAGACCAGAGATTGATGATACCGAAGTCATGAATATTCAAAGAAGCATTAGTTGAGGTTGCGTTCTATCCCTTCTGTTGTATCCTATCTATATTCAGATAAATATTTACAAATACCTTACATGACGTTCAGGAAGGTTTTAAAGTCAACGGGAAAATCAACGATATTCGATGCTGACGACAATGTACAGTTCCCGTCACATAGAACTGGTACACTTTTTTTCCCAATATAAGCCTGTGTTCAGACTTCGTTCGTGAATCAATTCGTTGTTGTCATCACAGATAATGGAATTGCACTAAATCTAACGAAAAAAGAACGTTCAAAAATGTTTCTAATAGTTTCTAAAGTTTCTATATAGGTATTATTATTATCATTAACAACAAAAAACCGTATTTAATAAATTAAATGATCAGAGAGAAGGTTGCCTTAATGCCCAAAATATTTCTAAACGTTAAAGGATCTTTAAACGTAGGATATTGGCACAGGGAATATTCGAATGCATCTACTGTAATTTTATATGTCTGTCGCACAGCCCTCCTTTTAGCTAATTTGATACAATATTTCGTTGAACTGGCAACGTTGCCCTAGAAATTAGAATGACATATGTGACAAGTTCAACTTACAAACAAAAAAACACGATTTTCGGTTATAAGAGTTTTTTATGACGCGAACGGTACCAACAATATTTTTAAATTTTGATAGATTGAATCGTGCAAGAATGAGAAACACTGGCATGAGTGTGAATGAAAAAAAAAAAAGAAATATTTAATTCATTTCTAAAAATATCGGGATAGAACATGCCAGAAACGCTTTCCTAAGAATACAACTATTTTCTTAGTTGCAAATGGCAGGAAATGGTACAATGGGAAAATTGGAAAGCTGTGAGATTGCGCTAGCTGTGTATTGAAACGAATAAGTTCTAAGGCGAATTATAATGGAAGGAAAGATTGAGGCAGACCAGGCCCTGGTAGACAACAGATGACGTGTCTAAGGAACGATTATTTACTATCTTTAATGGGAATTAACTACAACTTCAGTTTAAAATATGTTTATTTTGACGTTTCGATTTCCACTTCGGAAATCGTTCTAAAAATACAAACCGCTTTATAACAGTGACTAGGAAACGTCAAAGAATCGACTGTTTTAGACTTCCAGTCACTACTAAGAACGATCCAAAAACAGACAAGAGTTTGCAGTAGTTATTACAACCTTCGTTAGAAGAGAGTACCTAAAGAAGAAGTATCAATAATTTAATCCTAGAAACACCGTTTTTGATAATATTAGTTACATTGGTGGATAATGTTGTTGAGTCAGTTTGCCATCCATCCACAAAAATTTTAGATAAACTAAAAATCACATAATTACGTTTAGGATAATGTACCTAATCATTAGGGTACATTGTTCTGAAGCTATTTTCTTGTGGCATTGTAAATTAATTACTATTTAACTAGGAATAAGCCACAATTAAAGATAAAAATATGTTTATTGACGTTTCAATTTCCACTTCGGAAATCGTTCTCAAAATACAAACAGTGTTTGTATTTTTATATATTTTATGTTTATACAAAATACTGTTTGTATTTTGAGAACGATTTCCGCAGTGGAAATTGAAACGTCAATAAACGTATTTTTATCTTTAATTGTGGCTTATTCCCAGTTAAATAGTAATTAATTAGGGTACATGTTTTTCCCAATTTGTCTTTTTTTTTAAACTACGCGATACGTGTCAAAAATCGACGATAAAAAGAAATTCTTTGCTTGCAATATATTAACAAAGATTTTTATTTAAGACTATGGATGAACAGTTATGCCAGGAAATTCAGCCACCACCTGTGATCACAGAACGAAGGCAAAATAAATTTCAGCCGAGATTCAGACAACCCCAGAACACACAGAGGACGTATACTAAAAAGAAGTCCTTCACTTTTCAGCAGCGACCTGGTTTAAATGAATTAGTGTGAATAGAATAGCATATTATAGGATATTGTAATTTTCTATTAAAGAAATAAGTACATGTTAACCATTTGTTTGATTTGGTTAAGACATCGATGAATGCCAATGTTGATTTAAAAGTTAATTTTTGTAAAAACTAAAATCTTCATTTTGAACTGTCACTTATATTGAACAGGCGCATTAATATTTACATAAACGAATTATTGCATATAAAACACTATCAAAACAATATACTAAACACTACAGCCTTAGTAAACATTCTTTGGAAAATAACCATTCTTTTCGTAATAAACAGATTTTGGACAGATAGTCAAATTACGACATTATAAATGATAAATAATAAAAAGCAACCAGCCTGTTTCATTAATAAGACAATATGACAGATCAAAATTTTTGTTTTTTTTTTGGTAAAACTTTATTTTCCCACAAAGACGATTTTTCTTAAATACTCTTATTAACCTGGGACCGCCCCTGGGGTCCACATGGGTACGCAATATTTTCAAGCCTCTCACATCTTATCGTTTTTAAATGGAAGGGATATCAGTGGATATCAGTGGATATCACAGTATTTTAGGAAGTATAAATTCTCCTTAGTATTGAAATTATTTCAGTAGAGTGAACATGTACGTTTTATTTCAATTTTTAAAATGGATGACCTTATCGATGTTCAAGCACTAAACGATATTTTGAGGTAGGCTCTGAGTTATTATTTTAATTTTGTTTTATTACGTTACTAACAGCTGAAAGTTTATAAGAATGTATAGTTTGATGAATTTATGTTTGTGCAAGTTGCATTTATTTGAAGCTTTTTCATGCCGTACCCATATGGACCCCGTGGGCACCTAAACTTTTTTTTGTTTCAGTCCTGGATTTTCGCTACAGGAAGCAATAGAGCTTATTTTAAAAAACGATGATAATATAGCCCTAGAAAAAATCTTTGTTAAACCTCCACCAAGTAACGTACTTACTGATGAAGAATCTGGAGACGAGGATGAAGGCGGAACTTTTCTAGATTTACCTGGCAAGCAACTTTTAGCACCTGCAGAGCTTGTTTTTACTAACGGTTGCATTGGTGGTAATTCAGATGATGCTATTCAAGAACTTTCAACCATTTCTTCATGTGTTTCTCAACAGTTTACACCAGGCCCCAGTAGCTCTTCAGTTACAAACGACAATACTAATAATTATTCAGAAAATTTTGACCAACGTAATGTAAATAAAATTCCAGAATTTATTGGTTCTTGGTTGGACTATCAAAGAGATAATGTATAAAACGTAGAATATATTGAAGGTGATATATTGAAATATGTAAAAGGAGATTTTCCTACATCGAGTTATGAACTTTTTAAAAATAAAACCCCTATCGAAGTATTTGAAATGGTTTTTACGAATGAAATTATTGAACACTTTAAAAATCAAGAGAATCTAAATATTACACATGATGAAATAAAATGCTTCATGGGAATCCTTATTTTAAGAGGTTACAATTCAGTCCCATCTAAACGTCACTATTGGGAGAAGTCCGAAGATATTAGAAATGACTTGGTATCGAGAGCTATGAGAAGAAATAGATTCCTGTCCATCATGAAGTTCATTCACTGTTTGAAACGAATAACATGTGTGAATTGACAAAGTTCAGAAGAACTGAAAGAGAAGTGATGAAAAAAAAAAAATACTAAAAATAGGGCTAAGCTCAGAGGAACAAATTTAAATGGCCAAAGAGACACTAAATCTCAAGTGAGTGTTCGGGCTAGCTTCAATGCACTGGATTGTGGCTTTAAAGATATAAACAACAATAACAAGAGATAATGAGCTAATGAGACAAGAAACGAAATGAGACCTGGTAATATCACATGTGATACAACTGAAGAAGATCACTGGGTATAAACTTATAGAAAAAGAACAATAAGAAGAGAAAAGAAGGGCGCCAACTCAACGATAGTTGAGATTTTGAAGTAACAAATAAATCTGGAGATAATACTCTGAAATACAAAAATACTAAATAATAATCTTGTTTTGCTATGTTATATACTGGTTAGTAGAACTGAAATAAAACTCAAAATAGCAACAATAAATATATTTATAAAAAATGTATATAGGTATATGTGTATAAACAATTTACATATAATGCAAAGCCAAATAACAGTGGTAGTGGATGGTGTACAAATACAATAGGACCTAATAGCCCCTCAACAAATGAATAGTCACTACCACTGGCCAAATAAAATATGAAATATTAGTATACAACAAGAATAGTCCGTAGGGTAGCCAAAGTCTTAAAACAAAAAGGTAGTCATTTAAATTTAAATTAGTTCTACTAAAATGAGGTACTAATGACAATATTGTAAAGATATCAAACTTGATAAATCTCTATTACAATTATATTAAATATATATTACATCCAAAAAGTGAGTTGTTCCATACTCATTATATAATATTTAAAAACAAACCACATTAAATTTATGTCCCTCTCAATATCAAATTGTATTATATTAACAAAAATATTATATCCAAAAAAAAGTGAGTTTGGTCAGACTCTGTATATTCTAACTAAAACCTAATAACACATGAAGTGTCCCTTTTTCCTCCCCGAATATTTTATAATTAAATTATCAAAAATTAAATTATCAAAAAAAAAGGTATTCACCTTATATGCATATAAAGAGGGTATACTACTAAATAGGAAGTAACAAAAGTTAAACAATTAAATAGATAGTAACACAAAAGTCAAATAGTTAAACAACTTATCTTTACAGCATTATAAGTCCATAGGAAAAACTCCTCTTGGCACGGCTACGTCAGTTTATGGCTGTAAAGACGAATCCTGGTCACAAAACACAACCAGTCACTGGTCTCTGGGTGACAGCAAAATCCACGGGTTTCATACACAAGTTAAGTGTGCTAACTATGTATCTAAGGATTCTGTTACTAGTATCCTTGAGGGAATATTCTCAAGAGAATACTCTCAAGTGAAGTGACGGAATCTAAAATTATTATTATTTAATAAATACAATTCAATAGGTGTAGCAGCATGGATTGACTGCACCAAAACAAAACATCAAAACATCAGGTATTAGGTTAAGTCAACATCATGTCAAATTTACGAAGTTACTTTCGTAGGCATGGCAAGCTTGCGCCATGAAAAGAACATGCGCAGAATATAGAAGGCTGTCCACATTTGTAGAACCTTTTATATTCCACCAAAAAAAAGTTAGGTAAAAAAGAACCAAAAAAACTTAATGATAACGACATGGAATAAAACAGAATTTAAGTTTAACTATATAAAAAAAAATGACCTTCTGTTCTTTGCAAGTAAATCAAGGAAATTTTATATTTAAATTATTTCGGAACTCAAAAATAAATCTCTAAAGAAATACTAAATACAATGATAAATTTGATTATATGATAAAGAGATAATACGTATAAAATGATTTACTTACATGGAGCTCGCAACACGCCAAAAAACTCTTCCTTTTTATATGGAACTCTTATAAATTAATACTTGTTATTTAAAATTAATTATTACTATTATTATTAATGAATTATATTCTTCCCCAAATTATCTTCCTTGCTCCAATTCCGTCACTTTGAATGTGAACAATTTCACCGGTTGGCGTGTCTGCGTTGACGAGTTCTGACCAAAACTGATCGTTCTCGTACCAACTCGACCAACCTTACTTTTTAAGCGACTACTACGCGTGTGGGGAAAAATGTCCATTTAAAAATCGATCGTAGGCGGGTAATAAAAATTTCTTGAGGGGTTTAAATTGGACTAGTCAGTAGCGTAAACGCTACATTCTCCCTCATCTCCAGCAAAAAAAAAAAGGAACTTTTTTTTTTTTTTGTGGCAGAACGATCTAACACTGACAATGAACGTTGATACGTTAAAATTGAACATTTTCGTCACCAGTCAACCATTTGCTCAGGAATTGGAACAAAATCAAGGACGAAATAAAAATATGGAACGAAGAATATGAGACGAAGTCATACATTTTTTTTTAATGAGATAATGTATGTTAATTTAGTATAAACCAAAGATAAAAAAAAGTATACATTTTAAGTTAAATTCTATAACCTTACAGATCAAGTTAACTTTTAACACTACTTATCTACATTCTCAAGTATTGGTAAAAACAACCATTCGTTAAAACTACATTATAGATGTGTATTAACAACCCCTAACACAACATTCCCAAGAACCATTCATGACAACGAAATTCAAACAAAGTCCTATGAACTTTACCCAACGTTGATACTAGAGCGACCAGATTCTATTCGTCACCATAGAGTTCAATGAGGGCCTAATTACTCAGGACTAGTTGAAACTACAAACCTAAACATATATATGGTTCGGGATATTAACAACAAGGTAAAAGTCAAGGTAAAAGCTAATTCAATACACCTACTTGCTCTAGCAGCGGTAGGAAAGCACACAATCGGTAAAGGCACAAGCCTAGATACTAGCAAGCCCACTATACTCATGGTATAGGGTATGCTAAAAAAAGGTAAGTAAGATAACTGCAATCCCAACTCATAGTAAAGGATATGCACAAAAGGTAAAAGATAATTGCACGTCCAGATCTACTCATGGTAGAGGATATGCACAAAACTCACTTCTACCAGCTATACACTTGGTAGAAGGAAAGATAAAAGAGATCCTAACTGTAATACCCAAACTGTACTATTGACGTGTTCCAATTCTTTACTCACGACAAGAACAGTAAAGGACAGATTTTTAGGACTCTATAATCAAGATAAAGATAACATATATATTCATAAGATATAGATAAGAAATAAACTTATCCAGGTAAAGGTAAAGATAATTAACTTCAGGTAAAGGTATGAGATAAACCAATTAAGGTAAAGATAATGATACACTCAAGGTAAAGGTACGAGATAAACTCAGTCAAGGTACAAGATAAACTCCAGGTAAAGGTACGAAATAAACTCAGTCAAGGTACGAGATAAACTCAAGGTAAAGATACGAAATAAACTCAGTCAAGGTACGAGATAAACTCCATTACAGGTATGAGATAAACTCCATCAAGGTAAAGATAAACTCAATCA